ACAACAACACGTATTTAAAACCCGGTTTAAACGTCTTGTTTATGAACGTGCTTTCATATTATGCTCCACATTTTGTTTAAATTCAATTAGAGCGGTAACGCAATGTAGCACAGATGTCCTACGGAGCTGTAGTCGCTGCATTGTGCGAAGACGGAGAGCCCCTACAGCGTGAAATGTTCGAGACCGTGAGCTGAACGACGATGTGATTAGGGCCAGAGAAGCTGTGATATTGAATAGCCTGGGTGGGATCGTGCGAGACTGATAGTGTAGTTACTACGTCACTGATAGTGTAGTTACTACGTCACTGATAGTGTAGTTACTACGTCACTGATAATGTAGTTACTACACCACTGGTAATGTAGTTACTACGTCACTGATAATGTAATTACTACACCACTGATAATGTAGTTAGTACGTCACTGATAGTGTAGTTACTACGTCACTAAAGTGTAGTTACTACGTCACTGATAGTGTAGTTACTACGTCACTGATAATGTAGTTACTACACCACTGGTAATGTAGTTACTACGCCACTGATAATGTAGTTACTACGTCACTGGTAATGTAGTTACTACACCACTGATAATGTAGTCGCTACACCACTGATCATGTAATTACTACACCACTGATAATGTGGTTACTACACCACTGATATTGTCGTTACTACACCACTGATAATGTATTTACTACACCACTGATAATGTAGTTACTACGTCACTGATAATGCAGTTACTACACCACTGATAGTGTAGTTACTACACCACTGCTAGTGTAGTTACTACACCACTGATAATGTAGTTACTACACCACTGATAATGCAGTTACGTCACTGATAATGCAGTTACTACACTGATAATGTAGTTACTACACCACTGATAATGTATTACTACACCACTGATAATGTAGTCACTACACCACTGATAATGTAGTTACTACACCACTGATAATGTAGTTACTACGCCACTGATAATGTAGTTACTACGCCACTGATAATATAGTCACTACGCCACTGATTATTTAGTTACTACGCCACTGATAATGCAGTTACTACGCCACTGATAATGAAGTTACTACACCACTGATAATGTAGTTACTACGCCACTGATAATGTAGTTACTACGCCACTGATAATGAAGTTACTACACCACTGATAATGTAGTTAATACGTCACTGATAATGTAGTTACTACGCCACTGATAATGTAGTTACTACCTCACTGATAATGTAGTTACTACGCCACTGATAATGTAGTCACTACGTCACTGATAATGTAGTTACTACGTCACTGATAATGTAGTTGCTACACCACTGATAATGTAGTCATTACACCACTGATAATGTAGTTACGTCACTGATAATGTAGTTACTACGTCACTGATAATGTAGTTACTACGTCACTGATAATGCAGTTACTACACCACTGATAATGTAGTTACTACGTCACTGATAATGTAGTTACTACGTCACTGATAATGTAGTTACTACACCACTGATATAATGTAGTCACTACGCCACTGATAGTGTAGTCACTACATCACTGGTAATGTAGTTACTACATCACTGATAATGTAGTTACTACGCTACTGATAATGTAGTTACTACACCACTGATAATGTAGTTACTACGTCACTGATAATGTAGTCACTACGTCACTGATAACGTAGTAAAATCTCGCTCAAAACCGGTAACTAACAACCGCTCATGTTTTCACGAGTTTAGGTACACTTTGCAAAAATTGTCTCGTTGGATCTGGGTACTCTCTGTGACAGTGCCGGTGTCTGTCCCCTGTCTGGGTACACTTCGTCACAAGTACTCGTGCACAATTGAGAACACCTCGTCAAAGTTACAATTAAATTGGGTGCGCTGTGAAAGTTCTCACGTGTCCCCGTGTCCCGGTACACTCTGCGAAGGTGCTGACTTGTCAACAGGACCAGGCTCAGGACCAGGCCCATTGTGAACCCAGGGACCAGGCCCATTGTGAACCCAGGGACCAGGCCCATTGTGAACCCAGGGACCAGGCCCATTGTGAACCCAGAGACCAGGGACCAGGCCCATTGTGAATCCCAGGACCAGTGGCATTGTGAACCCAGGTCCAAGGACCAGGCCCATTGTGAACCCAGGGGCCAGGGACCAGGCCCATTGTGAACCCAGGACCAGGGACCAGGCCCATTGTGAACCCAGGGACCAGGCCCAGTGTGAATCCCCGGACCAGGGACCAGGCCCATTTTGAACCCCGGACCAGGCACCAGGCCCATTGTGATCCCAGGGTCCAACTTCGTGTATAAATCTCTCTGTTCGTGGCCGCCAGGACGCCACCGTGGCGATGGCTCCGCTCACCTCTAATCCGCGATTACATTCGGCACACGATGTCCCTCTGACGCACCACCACCAGGGGGGAGGGGGAACTCCACGTACCTCGCCTCGAGATTTAACACGCACCTGTGAGGTGCGCGCAGAAGCACTGCATCTACAGTACAACAAAGCCCCCAGCCTTATCCAGACCACGAGCTCACAAGAACTGAATATGGTTATTTTGTCGTTTATGACAACCGACTGGTGGAATGGAGAAAAGATGTAATCAGTCATGATCCATCCACTGATGGTCTTCACGAATGACGCCGACTATATGCATGAACTTTTCACACCGTACGTAGCCAACCATGCTAATCAGGTAAGGGGCCGTCCATAAATGACGTCACGCACCTGGGGGGGGGGGTCAGACATTTGTGACGTGTGACGAGGGGGGGGGGGGTGTGAAATGTGACGTCACATCAAAATGTGCAACTTTAAATAAATATAGAAAAAATAATAATTTAAAGTTTTCGTGACTGCAGGGATTCATATTCTTGGTTCTTTCGGTAAAGTCACGACGTTTCGATTGCAACACAAGCAATCATCATCAGGGGTGAAAACCACAACAAGAAAATTTGAAAAAAGTGGCGGTTTTTTTTAACGTTAGCACCACGGAGAGCGATTTGACAGTTTGTTCAGAAGGACGAGTCCATCTATGTTCGGAAAAGAGGAGGGGGGAGACGAAAATAATGGATGCGGTCTGAAAGCCACCTTAAGTGTGAACAATCAATTAAGACCCGAAATGGTTTATCAAATCCTTCCAATGATTGCTAAGCCAGAATCCATCTTCTCGTTTGAAATTGTCTGTTTGTATATGTGGATAGCCTCATGAACGAATCTCTCATGGTAGCCAGATGGCTTACAAAGAACTTCCGTCTTGGAGAAGTCAATGTCATGTGAGCCTACTGAATTATAACAGTGATCTGCCACGGCCGAGGTGTTGGTCCTACCGTGTTTAAGGTCTGCTTTGTGTTCACGAATGCGGTCCGAGACATGGCGTTTGGTTTCTCTAATGTAACTACTACCATAGAGGCAACTTAGTTTGTAGACGCCAGGGTACTGTATGTCCGGAATCACATCTTTTACAGATGGAACCAGATCACGGATTTTATGTAATGTGTTGAATCGGACCTGGATCCTGTGTTTATTCAAGATTTGAGATATTTTTTTAATAGAATTGTTATAACACTCCTACAACATCAGAGTGCAGCTCCACATTAAATACGCACTACAATGACAATAGTTTAAAGCGATTTGAAGCATGTTTTATTTTAAAATGGAAATATGGTTTTGGGTGGGGGGGGGGCAGAGCTTTGTGACGTCACTTGAGGGGGGGGTCTGACTTTTTGTGACGCCGTGACGAGGGGGGGGGGTAAAAATCGTCCAAAATCGCGTGACGTCATTTATGGACGGCCCCTAAAAGGGTGGGCGGGGGGGAGGACACATTGAACCAAAGCAGTTTTAAAGAAGTCAGTTTTAAAACACTGATTAAAAGTGCATACCTCCAGGGGCTTCTGGATATCGTAAGCGCATTTCAGACAGCTGCAGCACATCTGAAATTGCGCGATTGAGACGTAATAATGCCATGGTTATCCTGCAGACGTAATAATCCAGTCTCAGACGGCGGAAATTCCACGTGCCTATGGCAGAGGATTAATCTGCCATGATCAATCCACTGCTCAAGCTCCTCTTTCACGCCTCAAAGTTACCCAGGTTGGTATCATTTGTGACAATTCAAATCTGAAAATGTCACATCTGCACGTTATCAAGTTAACATCCTCGCACAGAACGCTGCGGTTCCAACGTCAGATTTTATTTACAACAGCGAAACACGCGCACGGAGCTGGTGCAACTGCAGTTGCCACCTTCTCTTACCTCATCACAAGACCACCCACCCACCCCCTCATTAAAACATTACCCAGAGGAATTGCAAAATCTGCGCGTGGAAATGTTCGCTTCCTCGTCCTCCCATGTATCTTCCTCCGGCTTTCCTTCCATGGCTAAACAAAGATCCCCCATGTAGCCTTAACAGGCTGTTGGGAGCAAGTGCTGTCGGCAATGACCAGTGAAGGCTGGCACACACACACACACACACGAGGGGGTCGCTTGCCAGGTCCACGCCCGCCCACCTTTGTCTCCCCAGTGACGATGTTTACACACTGCACCAGGTTCTCATTTGAGGAAGAGTCCTCGCTATGATCCACAACGTAAATCGGTATTGGCCAAACATCTGAACGCCGAAGAAAAATTACCTTCAAATTAAGTCAAATGCGAATAAGCGGGCCAAAAAAAACGATGGCTGAAACGTGACATACGAGTTACCCAATCGGGATTACACAGCAGGAGCCAGTTTCCACTCCACGATCACATGGCAGGAGCCTCCAGAACAGGTAATGACCGAGTGTTTCCCAGGTAAACGCGTGGTAGTAAAATACACTAGCCTACAATCTTTTAGACGTCTGCTTTCAGGGAAGCAATGTGCTATTATGAATTTTGATGTGCTGAATTCAAATTACAAAAACAGATTGACTACCGTTCAATACATTAAAGTTTGTACATTTTTCATCTGAATTGTAAGAGCTATTTATGTTAATGGTTGCTTTACATCTCACCAGTCCTGTTCATGTAACACAACCTCAACAAAAGGGTTATAAAAATACAATTTATTACAAAACAAGGCAAAAAACTTGGATACAAATACATCGTTTAGGTCTTATTCAGTGTCTAGTTCTTGGCTTCTCTTGTATTCATTAAATGGGCGTTTAGCAGATTGAATCTATGGCTAATGCAGCTCACGTGTTCCTCTTCACACCTTTCCCAACCTAACAATTTGTCTCAATCATTGCCACTGCAAAAGGCATACATTTCCTTTTCAACCACTGGCAAAAATGTGTTGCACAAGTGTTGCAGCGTGTGAAGCCCACATCTTGTTCCAATCTCCAATTGTGCAGCCAAAACACAGGTGATAGGCTTCCTTAACCCGTGGTCACTGCGCTGGTGATGCAAAAGTCACTTCACCGCAAACACAGCAGTTCTGCTTTGTTCACAAGCACGAGGCAGCTCTGCTAACTTTGGCTAAACAGAAGTGTCCCTTTGCAAAATCAAACACCGACAAAGTGCACCACTGATTTCTAGAGTTGATATTGGGTAATTTGTTCAGCAGGATGCAAGCCGAGTTGTCATTGTATCATCCATGACTTCTAGGAATAACATGCAATTGATATCATACCAGGTTCATATTGCATCATTCTGCTCAAAAAGTGCCGTCTAAACTCAGCAATAAATGTATTCATAGATCGTCAAATGTATTTTAGTCATTTCTGGTTTAAATAGATAAATTACTGTACAGGGCGTTTCAAAAAGATGGACCAAATTTCAAAGTAGTATATTTCACCATAGAAACATGTTACAATTACACAAAAAGTTAAACGGTTTAAAGCGTTATAAATTTTTACCATTTTATAAATGCTCTACGTGCCCTCCGTCTGCTGTACGGACAACATCGAGACAATCGTTTAATTCGTCCCAAACGCCTCTCAAAGCGTCTTCTTCCACTGATGTCACCCACTGCCGAGATTCTGTTTGAGGTCATCCAGATTAGTCGCTAACGGTGGCACAAAAACACCACGGTCTTTGACGTATCCCCACGAAGTCAAACAGGGTGTGGTGATGTCTGGGGATCTTGGGGGCCAGGCGTGTAGCGCCAAATCTTGGGGTCCCTGTGCGACCTATCCAACGTTGAGGCAGTGCGTCATTTAGAAAACGTCGCACCTGCAGGTGCCAATGTGGCGGTGCATCGTCCTGCTGATAAATAAAGTCATCAGAATCTTCGTCAAGCTGTGGAGCCATTTCTGCAGCATTTCGAGATACGCTTGCCCCGTGATTGTGTTTCCCTCCAAAAAGAAAGGGCCGTAAACCTTTCTTTGAGAAACGGCACAAAACGTGTTCACCGTCGAGGAACTACGCTCGCGCTCTGCAGTTTCGTGTGGATTCTCCCATCCCCACATGCGCACGTTGTGCCGGTTAACTTTACCGCAAAGCTGAAACGTCGCTTCATCACTAAAAATCAAAGGCGGCAAGAAGTCGTCCGTCCTCCATGCTCTAACACCGCGTCACAAAATTCCACGCGCCTTCCTTTGTCGCCTGCACCAAGAGACTGGAACACTTGCGACCGGTGCGGCCTCGTGATTAAAGGTCGCCTCGACACACGCCAGACGGTCGTACGAGGGATCGCAAGTTCTCGGCTGACACGGACGGGTGGACCTTGCGCGGGCCACGCAGAAAACTCTCCTGAATTCTCCTCACGTTCTCCTCCGAGGTGCGCGGTCGCCCCGCGCTCTTCCCCTTACACAAGCAACAAGTTTCCTCAAACTGTCGGTGCCAACCACGGACGCTCTTGGACATCGGCGGATCGATGCCAAAACGCCGTCGAAACGCACGCTGCACCGCAATTACCGATTGGGTCTTGCCGAGCTGCAGCACGCAAAACGCCCCTTGTGTAGCGGTGGGGTCGCCATCTTGCGAATGACCGAGGCTAGGGGAAGTTTGTGCGCTGGGAGAGGCATCGAGCGGTAAGAGTTTCATTCATGTCGATGTAGGCGAGGGGAGTATCTACAACTTATGTTGCGTGGTACATATAGGCAACTGTGCTAAATTTGAAGCGGCAAGGGAAACACGGGATAGGAGACGATGCAGCAGCAGCAGCTGCTGCCCCCCTCCTCCAGGGGCAGCCGGTGTCAACAATTACGAGCCCCAGGGGTAGCGGCCAGCAAGATCCCAGTGCCTTCTGGTCCAGCTGGGAATCCAACTTGAGCTTCAGCACCACACCTAAGGCATGCACAGGGGAAACCATCTAGTCAACAAACCACGCATAACGTACACCAACATTGCTTTCCATTTCATTGGGGGAAAGTGCCACCCCCACCACCACTTGGCGGACCAGACGAGAGATCTCAGACGCAGCTCTGCTATTGTACGCTCCTGCACACTTGATTCCCAACACCACGGGATACCCCCAACCACTCAGATTCGGCGGCTGTCGACGGAACAATCCGGGTGACATTTCAGAGGGGGGGGGGGAAGAAACCCCTCGACTGTTGTATTTACATAAAACCAGGCACACACACACACATCCTAGTTTCTGTACTGCATTGTAGCTGGCTTTGTAGTGACGGGACGAGCGTGGGTCACCGCTGCCCGCCGTGGAGTCCAGCACCGCTGCTCTGCCACAAGGCTTGGCCCCGACAGGGATGGGGGGCCCTGCCAGGAATTTGACTGCCTGTGGGTTTGGGCTGGCCGCCTTACTGCTCCTAGCCTGTGTTATATACACCAATGACAAAGGATACCCTTCCATATAGCCTTAACAGCCGGTTGGGGCAAGTGTTGTTCGCGAGTATGAAGGCCAACACGGCACACCAGGGGGTGAGGGGTGGCCAGAACCACACCCAACCTGGCAATGGTTACACAAAGCACCAGGTACACATGAGGGGAGAGCCCAGAACCGGTTTAGATAATCGGCACTGCATCAAACCTGAGTCACATGAGCTCATAGCGCGATGCGTTAACCGCTACACTACCGCTCCCCATCGCCAACCACCGCCGTCTCCATCCAAATCCATTCCACTTTCCTAGAGGTATACAAAACTGCCGGTGGGAGTCCTACATGGCCTAACCTTATCCAAATCACCGGCACCAGAACTTACTCCAAGCAGGACTGCCCCAATCCGTATGGTGCCCCCTGTCCTTGTGGTGGGAGGAAAATGCACTTTATTTTCAACTTTTCTCCAAGTTTTCCAATTGCTCTTTTGGCACCACGCGACACGGAACTAATAAATTCAGAGCTCGCACGCAAGTCAACCCTCCCCCCACGGAAGCGGATATCAACAAAGCTACCACCTCCTGAGGATACCCTTCTCACATCTCCCGGCGGCTCACACGATGGCAGAGCAGCGTACCGTGGGACGAGGGAGGCAGTCGTCAGCGGTTACCAGCAGCTTGCATCTGTCCACCTCTCCCCCTCCCCCGTTGCATCAGTCTGTCCACCTCCAGGTCAGCTGGGGGAAAAAAAAAACCACATCCAGCAGCAACACCGGCATCAATGCATTGCAACTGACCTCCAGTTTCGTCAACGTGTTAAACCGTCTCTCGTGACAAGACATCCGTCCGCCGTTTATTAAAATTCTGTTCCCGGAGCATGAACCGGCACCAGTTCACGGTGAGGAGCCGGCCGGGATGAGATTCGGGAGTTCGCTCTCCCCTCCCACGATTGAGACTGCGCCAGATAACGCAGCCTCTGCCCAGAGCGGAAGGGGATCAACACTAAAACTAACTAGCTTTAAATTTGCCAGGCAAGGCCCCCCCCCCCCCCCCCCCCCCCCGAGTTGTATAGGTAGTTTTCAGATGGGACTTGGCTATCGCTAATGATAGCCCAACAAAGCACTCAGAAGCCACTCCAAAGATTCCTGCCTGCCCACACACCCCCTCCCCCCGTGAAGTCCCAGACTGATATGGGCATACAAGCAAGGTCTTATGAAGGCCAGCACAATAGGATGGTGGGTGGTCAGCACCACGCCCATTAGTCTCCCCAGTTCTAAATTTACACATCTTGCTCAATCAACACTGCCCCACCCCACACCTCCGCAAGAGATTGTGGATTAAAAACAAAATTCGTACATGCGTGTAATCTGAGACGTCTCTCACCTGGTTGAACGGGTGACGAGTAGGGTGACATGGTCTCTGTTCCCACTCAATGGTACGATCCCACCTGCACGCACACAAAACCCCCGCACGGCTTACACAATGGTACAACCCAAACACCAATGACCCAATCACCTCTAATGTGCCCGATCTCATGAGCTAAGCTTGGATAATGCACGGATGGCTGGCATTGCCTAGCAGGTGCTATAGGTTGCTGTGGGGGCTAACGTTGTAGGTTAGTACAGCCAAATCCGTTGTGTTGCAACATCCAAGCACCCAGCCTTCCACCTGTGAAATACCAAACATTTCTGAAAAAGCTCAAAGCTCAGATTTATCCAGGATAAATAAATTCAGAACGCCCAACTTTTTCAAGTTGCATATTGAAATCACAAGACGTTACACACATTTGCTATGCATGCGATGATCCATCTCAAGACTTCCAAGTGACAAAATATAGTAATAAAATATGCATATATAGTACAGGTTGAAATGTCGGTGCCCAAGCGTCCCTCCGGAGCCACGCGATTGGTCGGCAGGGAGGGATAGTAGGACATCACTTCCTGTCTGCAGGGGGAACGACGGCAGGGCCGCAGGGGAGGGCGGCGCCGTAACTTTATCCTGCACGGCGCCACGCGGCAGCCTCTCTCGGTCTTTATTACCAAATGGGCATATACTGATAACCCGTCCATTTTAGCTCTCCCCACTTGCGGAATCGCCAGTCCTCTCACCTTGCCGGGCTCAACAATCTCCCGCCCCACCTATGCAATCGCCGCTGGGTTTTCCTTGGCCATGGGCGACATGCAGAGAGGATGCAGCGACCTGCGGACGTGACGTGCACACAGGTCAACCAAACGGCCCAGCACCACCCCCGCTTTGCCCACCGCCACGCAACACACGCACCACGCACGCAACATGCCATTTCGGCTACTTCGATAGATATCTGAATCAAATTGCTGGCCATTCACTTTCGTAGAGTTCCGTTCATCAGACACGTCTTAAATTCACTTTTCAGAGATTCTTAATTTGAGACTTCCCATCTCTCGTACTCTTCTCACAACTTGGCGACCAAAGATCTCTTAAGCTGTCCATTTCTTTGCCAAAGGGACCCTCTGTTCACCGTAACACGAATTCGCATAACCACCATTGTTCACTCCACGAGAGAAAACTCAACCCAAGTCACCACGGGACGTGAACGTCATGGATTGAGATCATTGGAGGTCAGGAAACATTTGTTTATTTTTAGTGACTTGCCAACCTTTCCTCTAATTTGCACCCCTATCGGTTCTTGTATTGTTGTAACTTTCTGACCGTGCCCCAACTGGACATCTGTGAAAACATGAGCTTCATAGCTCAAATTACTCCAGTCTAAATAAAAATATTCTGAAATAATCGGGGTTGAATTTGTCGGTGCCCAAGCGTCCCTCCGGAGCCACGCAATTGGTCGGCAGGGAGGGATAGTAGGACATCACTTCCTGTCTGCAGGGGGAACGACGGCGGGGCCATGGGGAAGGGCGGCGCTGTAACTTTATCCTGCACGGAGCCACACGGCAGCCCGTCTCAGCCTGAACTCTTCTCCCGGCTGGAATTTAACCAATTTGATCTGGTCATGGTAAACAGACCAGCAGCTCCAGTTTGCATCGTCACCCAAATGCATGGAGAGGGGAGATGCTTTTAATGATCAGTTTCTACAACCGCAATCGTGCCACTAGCATCACATCACAAGATGACGGATCCATTCACAACTCGGAGCAGTGCGACCATGCGTAAAGAGAACGTTTTAACACGTAGGCTTTCGCGACCAATATTATTCGTAATAAAGGTTTTTGGGTTAGATCTAATCCAAAAACCTTTATTGTAAAGAGAACGGCCCACGGAAGCAGATGGAGCTACCTCAGATTCCTTCAAGTGACCTTTGATCCATAAATCAAGAGGGGCAGCACTTTCCTACCCACTCTGCCACATGCAAGACTGTAAAACCCATATTTTTAATCTTCAAAAATGGATTCAAGCCAAATTACAGAAATAAAATTTACTGTACAGTCTTTTCTCGTAGAAACTGGATTGGGTTTATGAGAACGAGTCTGAGTTTTGGGGTTTCTATAAGAGCCAATAGATTCCCTGTTAATCTATGGGGACTCTGCAAATAATTGGCAAGTGGCCCAAGAGCTACTAGCTTCACAAGAGAATCAAGTTCAAAGAACAGTTTGGGTGGCCGAAACCCAGGAACCAAACCTCAGCTGTGCCAGTCTGTGACAAAGCCCTCCATTTGTGGTGCAAAAACAATGACGCGCCGTCACAAACTCACCTCCACTCGCGATCCACTCCGCTCGCCCACCTCAGACCTGGCGCAACACAAAGACCACAGGATTAGCCACAGGCTCCCCTTTACATCACCTCTGTGTATATATATACGTATGTTGAACTTCTTTCGCATCGTATACATCCATCCGTGACAATCGGAGGTGCGAAAAATATTCATCACACCAAATTTGGATCCTAATGTACGACTAGAGCATTATAGAAATAAGACCCTAAACTACCACGTGGTGGGTGTTCATAACTACAATGTTCTGGACCCTTAGGTGAGAATTCTACAAGGCGCAAAATACTTCATCTCACTGGTAATGGACAGCCAGGTGGGTTGTACGGCGAGTGATCAGCGTGGATTAGGGGTCATCAGGCGTCAGACCCGAAAGATGGTAACCATCATTTCACTCACTGCAACCACACGGCCCCAACGCCATCACAAAACGTTGGCCAAAAATACAATTAGCCACGTGCCTAAAACTAAAATTATTTTAACTTTACCAGGTAAGGCACACGGAGCTATATAGCTCAGTCTCAGAAGCGACCTGCCCATCACAAATGATATCACGTGGAAATGTACAGTAGCCAAATCCTATAAACGCGTGATGCCTATTCTAAACCGGAGGACCCAAAGATAAATCGACGCTAACCTGGCGTTAGTCAATTTGGAAATCAAAAGAGTTTTAATTTCAAAGCTATCAGTTGACAAGCGACATCCAAAAACCCTGGGATACCAACTTCAAACCTCCCCAGACCAGCATGGTGAAGTATGGTCACAACTGCAACAGCCAACGCAGCGTGGGCCCTCATTTAGAAGCGGGTTCACAAAGGTTTTGCTTGACATTCCAACTGTATAACTGTACCGTCAACAAACTTGTTCCGGCCACAGGAATGTCAATTTGCACCAGCTGCTGGTTGACAACACTGCACCGACGATTATCCATACGCGTCAACCCCTTATCAGCACCTACCTTATTACAGACCAATTCAGACCTTATTGGTCACCCCGTGCCCTTATAAATCTCAACGTTAATCTTAGTCCCATCACAAGGGAGACAAAAAAAATTGCCCGGATTTCAACGGGCATAACCCAGAAGGATCTGAAAAGATAATTTCCCTGTACAAGAATACGGGCAAACCGTATGGGTTGACACACTTTTATCGGTCACGGGCGAGGCAGAGTTAACTCCGCAACGAGCGAGACCTATTACTATATATAAAATTATAAAGTGTTATATTATACACAAGGCTCTCCACAATGAAAACCACGTGCCCCTTACCAACATTGCCCTCCTTCGGTAGGGCCGGATGTTACGTCATGTGGCCAAACCACGTGGGTGGCGTCTTCGCCACGTGCGGCCCATGGAGGCCGCCATTTTGAGATTCTCCATTCTGTGCACGCACTATGGGGACAAGACGAGGATCAGATTTGTGCTCTTGACAACGCCAATTGGCCCAGAAGAAATCTGATGAGCAACGAAGCTCTTTTTTTACACCGACGTCTGAAGAGGGTCAGCAAGTTACGATTGAAATTTAACCGATCCATAATGAAGAGAGCGAAAGTCACTTAAACATAAAGCATTACAGTAACTTGAAAATTGTGCACGCATTCCTGCAGGTTTGTCAATATTAAATGCAAAGTTTTGGGCAAGGCAGTCTACAAGATAGATTTTGCAATTGACACCGTACGGGAACGTACATTTAGCCAAGCGGCCTGAATATAACCGTCGCAATCCAGTAAAAAAAGCGGTCACTTTATCGAACAGGGGATGGGTCCTACATCCAAAAAAAATAACGCGGCAACAAAGATTCCTTTACTATAAATTAAACGGCCACGCCTTACGATTAAGCTGCTGCTACACCCGCACGACTGACAACGCCTTACGAACACGGCAAAACGTAGCGAGCGGTGGGTGCACTGCCCAATGTAGAAGTCGCCTCGCAAACCTGCACCGATCAAGTAACCCTCGCAGTCGATCAGCGCACTAAGCGAACTGCGCTACGAACCCGGCAGTCAACCCGCGTTAAACATTCCCGGAAATTGCAACATCAGCAGCGCGTGGTACCTCAAATGGAACTGCCCCAAGTGTTAAGTATGTCTCAATAAAGTCCATATATATTTAAACACAGGATACTAGGCCTACATAGACCGATACATTTAGCCACGAGTGCACGTGACCCACCGCAGCCGCGAGACCTCACCAATGACTAAGCATCGCACTGCACTCTCCCCCGCCGAAATTGATCGAACCTCAGCAAGATAAATCACTAACCCCTTCAAGTTTACACTGTACATGCAAGGTTTTGTAGACACGTGGCGATACGTTTACCTAGCTGTACTGAACACAGACTATAATAAATTAAGGAATCCGCACAATAAACGAGGGCTTCTGCTTCGCACAAGCCTGTAAACATTATCCATTGTTGTTTAGAATTAGACCGATAGTGATTTGGCAGTTCAAGTCGCGACTGCGAGCGGACCTACACAGCTTGTGTGCGCGCGTTTAACTCACCACGCAGGGCGCCGTTGCAAAAGAGACGGCGGAGCACGGTGAGCGCCCTTATATAGCCCGCTTGCACCGTCGAGCAGATCCATCCGCCAACTAGTTCCTCACAGAGCCAAGTTTAGAAACGCAATCATGACAAGCAGCTTGCAGTCACTAAACAAGGTGATTATAAAACCGATAGCAAGAGAACACGTACATGACAGTGTATGTATTAAAAAATATATTTCATAGCTTTTGAAAATCCCACCGAATTCTTTGCGGCTCGCGGATAGACACAGCTCGAAGCGAGCGGAGGGAGTGAGAGGGCCGGATGGGCGGAGCTCGAAGGGCCTGACGTCACTGCGCGCTGACTGAATGCGGTCAGAAGTGTCCGGATAATAAGACGCACCGGAAAGTAAAACGCACCCTCTAAAACCTTCCCCCCATGTCAATAAAGTTATCCACACCCGGTATCACTTACGTACCGGATTATAAAACGCATGTCAATACAGTTTTACACACTCGGTGTCACTTACGTACCGGATTATAAGACGCACTAGAAAGTAAGACGCACCCTCTAAAACCTCCCCCCCCATGTCAATAAAGTTATCCACACCCGGTGTCACTCACATACTGGATTATAAGACGCACCGGAAAGTAAGACGCACCCTCTAAAACCTTCCCCCATGTCAATAAAGTGATCCACACCCGGTGTCACTCACGTACCGGATTATAAGACGCACCGGAAAGTAAGACGCACCCTCTAAAACCTTCCCCCCATGTCAATAAAGTTATCCACACGGGGTGTCACTTAGGTACCGGATGTTAAGACGCACCGGAAAGTAAGACGCACCCTCTAAAACCTTCCCCCATGTCAATAAAGTTATCCGCACCCGGTGTCACTTACGTACCGGATTATAAGACGCACCGGAAAGTAAGACGCACCCTCTAAAACCTTCCCCCCCATGTCAATAAAGTTATCCACACCCGGTGTCACTCACGTACCGGATTATAAGACGCACCGGAAAGTAAGACGCACCCTCGAAAACCTGGCTGCCGGTGTTAATGAAGTTACCCAATAACAAAAGACAAAGATGCCTCCGTATAGCCTTAACAGACTGTTGGGGCAAGTGTTGTTGGCGAGTAGGGCCTTAGAAGGCCGTCACGGCACACGAGTTACCCACACCCGGTCTCACTTATGTACGGGATTATAAGACGCACCAGAAATTGATACACACTTCCAGACCTGTGCCCGGTGCTCAATGAAGTCATCCAAATCTGGTATCTCACACACACACGCTTATACTGTACCGGACTATAAGGCGCAGTGACTGAACGCTTGTTTTCATGTACAGGAGGACAAGTGCGTCTTGTTATCCGGTGTTAAAAGCGATAGAGGCGACCATGGACAGCGCCCACTCTATGAACACTAAATACTCAACCGCTGCGTCAATCACGTGTGGGGAACGCAACTTGAAACCAAACGGCCTATCCATCATGGGGCCTCTATTGCCAGTATCAAAATATAATAATCAATTTTACCCTTTCTGGCAATAAAGAACCAAATAGTATGGATCCCTGCAGTCACGAAAACTTCCAATCTAGAATAAAACAGGTGTTAAGATATTCTTAATCAAATGTATTGTTTTATTTGTATTATTTTATTATTTCCCTTCTACGTGACTTTACCGAAAGAACCAAGAATATGAATCCCTGCAGTCACGAAAGCTTTAAATCGAAATTTAGGTGTTAAGATGTTAAACCACCAAGCTGAAACCTTTTGCAAGGGATCAAGTGTGCATTAACCACACATACTTGTGGTGCACATTCAATAAAAAAAGCATGCTCTGGCAGTACATCCTCTGAGTGCAGTCTTTGTCTTTGCGCTGTTCGCCTTTTGTACGGAATGTACAGCCTTGGCTAATTGAAAATTATATATTGGATAAGATAAATTTTGGAGTATCAGAATCTTTATTTATCCTGGAGGAATCTGATGAGGAATCTGATGAGCTATGAAGCTCTTTTACTCGTCCCAGTAGGGATGCGATCTTGATGCTGTGTTTAATCCCATTTGAGCCATTTGAAAGTATTTTTTATTTTGCACTGGGATGGTTGGCCAATACCGATTACATCGCGTGCGTTTGTAGGTTTAGCTGTGACTCAGCCTCAAATGAGTACCTGGTGCGGTGTGTCGTAAACATCGCCGCTGGGGAGACAAAGGCGGCCGGGGCGTGGTGTTGGCCACCCACCCCCTCTCGTGTGCCGTGCCGACCTTCATTAGTGCTCGCTGACAGCATTTGCTCCTGCAGTCTGTTAAGGCGACACGGGGGATCTTTGTCTTTGTTTAGCTATGGGAGAAGAAACCCTGGCACGTGGGAGAACCCCATGCTGAACAGGAGGAGAGAGAAGACACAATAACCTCCACAGAGGCGCCCGAGTCGGGAATCCAAACCCAGGCACCCATCTGGCTGGTGATGAGCCAGAGTCAACACTTGACCATGATCAGTCTTCCTGATTTGGCCATAGGCAACAAGTATTACAGTGCACACATTGAACGCGTAGTGTTTAAACAAAACAAAAAAAATGTGTTATACAGGAGATCACTACGATGATGACGGAATGGGGAAGCATTCATAAAGCAGCAGATACATCAGAGGTCGGCAATCAAAATCTCAAGAAGATCCATGTTTTTTTTCGAATTCGGCGAACAAAAAGCCCCTCAATATTTCAAAGCGCCTCTATGCATCTGAATACGAGACGACGGGCCTTGATAAATAACGTCACGAAGCAGTCTTTTAAGAGCCGTCGCATGCGGATCCGAAGCCGCAGATTGACGACCCCTGGCCCCATAGATCGTGACCGCTGAAGAGGTCGCTGCGAGCCTCACCCGGCAGGAGTGGCTGTTACTAGGATTGGACAATAGGGGGCGACACTGGCAGCGCCATGCGTTTCGAATTCCGACACACAGCAGCAGTCACGTGTTAGGATTTTAACGCGGTGCAGAAGTCACGTGTGAGGATTCATACACGGGGCAGCAGTCACGTGTTCGGATTCTGACACGGCGCAGCAGTCGCGTGTTATCTCAGAATGAAACAGAAAAACTCGAGTTTGTAATTCACGCTAATTACACATTCATGGAGGGTGGAGGGGTGCCATAGTGGTTAGAGCACTGTGCGATGCACGCGGCAACCTGAGTTCGATACCCGGCCACGGCTAACATTAGTGATGAATGATATCTGAACTGATAGCCCCCCGCCCCGCCTGCTATGGACTAACCCACACTGAGCAGCATCCTGATGAAGTAAAACTTTCCCAACGACCGGCATGGCGTGGGGGAGGTCTTCATCCAGCAGTACATTGACAAAAGAATCAGAATCCGCAAAAAAAACCCCTCAATATTTCAAGAGCCGCAATGAATGTGAATACGAGACGGTGGACCTGAATAAAGAACGTCACGAAGCAGTCTTGTAAAGAGCCGCCGCACCATCGCACAAGGCTCTTTAATGAGGATCCGGGAAATAAATCAACGCGACCCCGGAGAGAGGGAGAGAGACATGCAAACTCTAAAATGTACAGCTGGCGCCAGAGACGGAGAACCGACAAACTGCACAGCCAACGCAGCCAAATCTTGAGACTTCAAACTATCTCCACGTGCTCGTCAACGTCACAGAGACCCGGCTCTGGGACGTTCCATCGTTGCATTCAATGACCAGCTACCCAGGTCAAACCCCACCATCGCCATGGTCTCGGGTCAGGAATCTAACTTATCCCCCCACCCCACCCCTAGCAACGGAGACTCCGGGAGACCCCGAGGGAGGTATTTGCCACGTGTGCACGGTCAACACGTTCGTTCAACAAAGTCGGCGTGTTGATCGGGATGGTCAGCGCCAAAAGGCGTCTGGTCCTTGCCTATAAACATTTGGCAAGGCAGTTCAGCAGCGTTGCTTTAGGCCGCGGTGACGAAATGTGAATTCCCTCGCCTGTTATACAGGAGGTTATGAGTTCGATCCCGACCCTGACTGATGCTTGTGTATTTAGAGTTTGCATGTTTTTCCCGTGGTCAGGTGGATTCTTCTCCGGGTCCTCTGGGGTTTCCCTCCACATTAGAAGCGTGCGTTTAGAGTCTTTGGCTGCTCTACATTTCCACGTGATAAGCCACAATTCGTTGAGCTATCATTTGTGATAGCCAGGTCGCTTCTGAAAAGGAGCGATATAGCTTAGCGGGACTTAACTGGTAAAATAAAGAATAGTTTTTAGAAGTATTTAACCCTGATGTCGCTGATGAGACACTGGATGTTGAAAAGGGTCAAGTCACAAAGTAGGCCAAGCGGACGGCATCTCTCCTTCACCGAAATCCATTTCTCCACACAAAAATGGGGAACAGAATATAGTACAGAATTTTTTTACACGCGTACACATATGTATGTTGAACTTCCTTCGCACCGTACGTAGCCAGTCATGTTAATCGGAGGTGCGGGGGAAGGACAACAAACTAAACACAAAATTCACACAGCAACGACCCCACACCCTTCAGGGAGTACGAAGTGTCAGCAGCATTGCCCCAATACAAGCAAGCTCTGGAGCAGTTTCGACGTAAAGTTCCTCGTCAGCAGAGCCTCGCTTGAACCAACAACACTGGTGAACTGCCAGATGCTATTGGTAGGGAAGCCTCCTTTGTGAGACTTTGGGTTTTCGTGTATTCAACCAATGCTGCTGAACAAACAACAAACAACTCCGCCAAGGCTGTGTGGCCGCCTGGGATGTGTGCAACACATGTCTTTGATAATGATTCAAGTTGTTTTATACTCCACAAATATGCTCATAAATAACTTCTGTTCGTTCAGAGCAGTGCGTCACCAGAGGGTCTCAGCACGGTCTCCAATAACTGCACAAATAAAGCCCCACATTAATTCTGGCTGTCGCCTGATGAGGCTGGTTGTAATTACCGGCCAATTGTCATACTCGAATGTAAATGTTGTAGGGTTACTCTCCAATACACCGATGTGTGGCACTAGTAACAAATCGGCATGGTTTGTTTACGTGACAAACCTCACTCATTGGCGGGGTTTAATGCCGCATTTATATATACACGCAATATAACCCCAAAAACTCTATTGTGAACATTAAATGTAATTCTGCATTCGAGTCGGTTAAATTCCAGCTCTGGGAATTAAAAA